GTCAATCGGAAGAGAGACTCCCTTGTTGTGGATTGAGGAGTACACCTATAAACCCATAACACTTCCAACAGTTCTTCAGCCTAAGTTCCCTTAGCGTCACCCAAGCATTTTTTCAACTCCGCGAGAATCACCTTGTTTGTAGCTTTGGCTTGCCCATTTGACTGCAAGTGTTCGACTGATGTGAATCGGTGTCGAATACCCATATCCTGCATAAACTTGTTGAGCTTTTGATCCGTAAACTAAAGACCGTTATCTGTTACAAAGGCATGGGGGATGCTGAAGCATGTGATAATGTTCTTCTAGAGGAACTTTTGAACATTGCTTGTGGTGATTGTGGCAAGTGGTTCGACTTTGGTCCATTTCATAAAGTAGTCTATGGCAACCAACAGGAATTTGCATTGGTCCTTAGCAAGGGGAAAAGGATCGAGTATGTCCATCCCCCATAAGGCAAATGTCCATCGCTTGACAAACTGTGCACAATCACTTTTGAGAGTTGGCCAATAGTAGACGACTCTTAGTACTTTGGCCGCTAAAGTTCTTCCACCCGAGTGGGATCCGCAAATTCCTTCATGGACTTCTCTTAACATGTAGTCGGCTTGTACCGGGTCTATGCACTTAAGCAATGTTTGGCAATGGGTAGGCATCCTTTGGGCAAGCTTTTTTAAGGTTGGTGTAATCGATGCACATTCTCCATTTTTCGTTCGACTTTTTGACCATGACCACATTTGCTAGCCATGTTGTGTATTGCACCTCCCAAATGAACTAGGCCTCAAGTAATTTTGTGACTTCCTCCTCCACCGCTAACTTTCTTTCGATTCCCATCTTTCTTTTTCATTGGGTTACTGGCTTGGCCTCACGACAGACTGATAGTTTGTGACACATGAAATTAGGATCTATTCCTGGCATATCCCAAGGAACTCATGCAAAGAGGTCCTTATTTTTTTATAATTACCGCACTCAGTGCCATCTGATCAGGTTTTGATAAACCGATCCCAATATATGTGACTTGAGACTTTTGCTCACCGATTTGCAAAGCTAACTTGTCCTCTATCGGTTCAACTCATTCATCGTTGTTCAGCCTCGGGTCAAGATCCCAAGCTGAAGGGAGGGATGCTAAGGGTAGAGGAGTCACAACATTCACTCTTCTTGATCTTGGTTCTTCTTCCAAACGGGTTATTCTTAAGCTGGCAAAGTAACATTCCCGAGCTGATTTTTGGTCGGCATGTATTGTAAGGATGTTTCCTGTATCAGATGAAAATTTCATCGCAAGGTGTGGCATTGAGACAATGGCCCCTAGGGCGTTCAATGAGGGCCGACCAAGTACTATATTGTAGGACGTGTTGGCATGTACCACAATGTACTTCACTTGGATGTCTCGATATTCCTTCTTATCGAAACAAAATTGAGTGAAAAGTTTGATGTATCCCTTGGTGTTGACCCTTTCTCCTGAAAAGCCGACAAGAGGTTCATTGTAAGGAACTAATTCCTCTTCGAGAACTCCGAGCTGCTTAAAGGTATTCCAGTGTAAGATGTCGACCGAACTGCCTTGATCTACCAACATTTTTTTAACTCTGCAATTATGTATTTCTATATTGATCACCATCAGATCATCTTGAACGGGGTCGATACCTTAGAAATCAGCCTTTGTGAATGTTATAGCTGGTAACCTTCTTGTAAGTCGTCTCTTGATGGCATGCATCGCCTGAACCGCGCGCAAATGTCTCTTTTGTGCCAAAAAGGTTGTGCCCCCTCCTGCAAATCCTCCTGCAATTTTGTTAATGACACGTCTATGAGACGCTTGGGGCTCTTCTTTCTTGTCCCTCGACCGGCTACGCTCGCGATGATGTCTTTTAGAGCGCTCTTGTCTGTATTGGTCACGGTGTTGGGATTGATAACCATGCCGAGATGACGTCGACCGATCAACAAAATTTTGAAGCTGACCTTGCTTTATCAGATCTTCAATTTTATCCTTAAGAGTTGAACACTCTTCGTTGGAGTGACCACGGTTGCGATGATATCTGCAAGATTTGTTCATGCCGGCACGTGGGGGAGTTGAAGCTCTCTTTGGAATGGCTAACACCTCCGATGCAAGGGCCTGTTCAAGTATTTCCGCCCTACTCGCATTCAAGGGGGTGTAATGAGAGTACTTCAGACCTCGCATCGGCCTTTCCCAGAGTGTCAAATCTTTGCCTCGACCTTGAAAGGGTTAGTATCCTGGTTTCTTTACCTTTCCAATAAGCTTAGCTCGGGCTTGATTGCAGAAATCGGCCAGTTCCTCCATTTGCATGTACTTATCAGCACGTCGATGAAAATCGTCCTTGTTAACAGGGGGTTTCTTACAGATACTATTAACAAAAAGCCTCGGTTTCAAGGCCGTAGTGAGAAGGTGGAGGGCTACAGTCAGATTAGGTCTCGGATTTCTAATGCTGCCTTGTTGAACCGATCCATGAAGGCTCGAAGTGACTCCTTCTTATCTTGTCGAATGTTGACCAATGACAGGGAAATTAGTTGGTGTGGCCGACTGGTCGCAAATTGGATGGTTAACAGTGACGCCAGAGTATTAAAGGAGTTAATCGAGTTGGCCAAAAGTCGAGTGAACTAACTTAAGGCCTTGCCTTTTAGGGACATCGGGAAAATCTGACATATCACAGTGTCATCGGTGGTACTCAATGTTACTTGCGTAAGAAACACATCGATATGCTCATCTGGGTCTGTTGTGCCTAGGGATGGCAAAACAGGCCAGCCCGGCCCGTTTTGGCCCGGACTGCCATTGGCCCGCCAAAAACGGGGTGGGCCGGGCCGGCCCGCCAATGTAAAACGGGCTGGAGATGCTGGTCCGCCTCGCCTAAGATCAGCCGGCCCGCTTACAAAAAATAAAAATAAAAAAAATGGAAAAAAAATATTTTATGGTCAAATAAAAAAAATGCTACAAATAAATAAATATAACCATATGAAATTAAAAATGCATACATATTGTACATAATATATGCTCAACAAAAACAAATTACAAACTTAAAACAAAATCAAATAGAAATTATTCCATTTACACCAAAATCAAAACCAAATTATAAACTTACAAATTATTTATAAACTAAATTTTTGATAGTCCACAAAACAAGTTTAAATACAATTAATTAACTTTAAATTTTTATTTTAAGAATATTAGAAGCTCTCTTGAAAGAAGTTGTCTCTACTTTTTTTCTTAATCATCTTCATCCTCATCTTCTACATCAAAATAAAATAAACATAAAAATAATTAAATTAAAAAAATATATATATACGGGCTGGCGGGTTGTGACGGGCCGGCCCGCTATTTGGCTCGGCGGGTTGGCAGGTGGAAATAGTTGGCCCGGCCCGCCAAGGTTGAAATAGTTGGTCGGGCTCGCCAATTTTTGGCGGGCCAACGGGCTGGCCCGCGGGCCATGGCCCACTTTGCCATCCCTAGTTGTGCCACCATAGTTGTCTATCATAAGGGATTTCTAATGGTCCAATAAAGGTGATTGCATGATGGATGTGGTGAAAGGGTGTCGATGTCCACTGATCGACTGGAGGGTGGTGGATCGGCCAAAGGGATGGCGGATGGGAACTTCTCTAGTGTTATGGCTGAAGCATAAGGGGCCGAGGTGTGGATCTCATGGGATTGGAAAGATCCTTGTGTTTGCGTATGGGTTGGCTGAGTAGGCTTCCTTGAAGGATCTTGGTTTTTTAGTGCGACATTCTCCGCCTTTAGGGTCGACAGTTCGCTAACATCTTTCTCCCTCTATTATCTCATGATGGCCATCTCTTCCTTCAATAGTCGAACGGTTTCTGAGATGTTCATTTCGTCAACTACTTCCACATGATCTTCATCCTCGGATCGGCGGTCGTCCATATTCGTCTTCCTGGTGTTCACCATAGTCCTAGCCTGTTGCCTTAGAGCTTTCGGTTCTGCCCCACGGTGGGCGCCAAAATATACTTGTCTAAGAGGCACACTAGTAATCTTCTCGTACTCTAAAGGCTGAATGAGAGCTCCAAGTGAATATTCTAGTGAGGGGGAGGGTACCTACAAAAGGCATTCTGACGCTCAAGTCAGGATAAGCACGAATATCGATAATAATGAATGAATAGTGACGTTACCTCGATATTGACATTAATGGGCCTTGCCCTCCATGGACCCTGCACTAGGGTTACCTCATTAAGTAATACATCCTTAATTGGCTTATTCGCATGATTAATCTTTAATCACTACTTAAGGATGATTACTGGTTCTATGAATTACTTCGCTCAAGGCCTTTCGGCCATCGGGGGTGTCGATCGAGTGTCGACAACCAGGTATGGTGAGTTTAACCGATCTGGCGTGATCCTTCTCGGCCTCCAACTGGGCCGATCTGATGTAGGTGGACATACAATTTCGCAAAAATGACCCGAGCATAATCAACTCGACTACCTGCTATGTCGAGCGACATGCCGAAAGGTATGGCCGAATGATCCTACCTGTACAAGTCATAATAATTCTATTAAATAATTTATATTGTATATCAATTTTTTACTAACAATATTAAATTAAATTTTTTTAATATATAAAATAATTCTATAATTTTTTTAAAAAATTAAAAATTATATAATATTTTATTATATATATTTATTCAAATCCTTAATTAGATTTCATTTATTTTTCAGTCGAGTTAGATTAATTTAAAACTAAACCTTACCAAAATAAAAAATATATGTATACCTTAAAAAAGAAGAATCACCTCTATTAATAATATAAATTATTAATAATATAAATTATGAATTTATATTTTATAATATATATATATATATATATATGAATAAGGGCTCTTCATCTATTGTCGCCTTGCCCGTGTCTGTAAAATGTCAGGACGGGTCTTTCTTCTAAAATCACAACGATTGAATGGCAACTCCAAAGTTCTTAATTAGGTTTCTTGGCATGTACGACCAACATATTCGTCAAATCGCAGTTTCAATTTCATAGAACCACCTCTCATTTCTCTCACAAATAAACAATTGGAATCCGGTTGTTAAGAGTGACCTTTCATCTCTGGTTTGTTCAATTGTTTATTACCAAAAGAGAAAGAACTCAGCGAAAAGAAGTTGCATCTGCATCACATTCTGTTTCCTTTTTCTTTTCTTCTTTATTTTTATTATAATTTTCCCTTCCTCCTCCTCCCATCCTAATATGGAAATTCCAAAACATGACTCTCAATCAAAGTATCAATCTTTTTGGCTCCTTCTTCTACCCCACTACAAAAGAATTGAAAATTCAGCTTCCCCTGCCCTTCACTCACATCCCAATAGTTGTGATTCTGTTTGGGTGGTGAAGGAGGGAAAAAGCTTAAACCTTGTTGCATTGGTGGTGGCAGGTCCATGGCCAGCACAAGTGGCACGAAGGGGCCTTATGAGACAGATTGGCAGCCAACAAAGAGGGTTGTGAGGGCTCATACTATAAATGTCGACGACTTCCGAGACGAGGAAGGTGTTGTGGACACTGAGATTGTGCCTTCTTCGCTTTCTGTGCTTGTGCCTGTTCTCAGAGCAGCCCATGCCATTAGAAAGGAGAATCCAAGAATTGCCTATCTTTGTGAGTATCTTTATATGATTCATGTTACAATCCCCTGTCATTAAGGTTGTCAAACTCGACTAGAATCATAAACTTGTAAGATAATATGCAGCTGTATGCAAAGGCTTGTGAAGTTGGGTATCCCACCTCTGTTCAATAATTTCCCATACAGTTTCATAGCTACACAAATACCAAATATGGCATATTAGAAATAGAAACACATACACAAATAAGACAATTAAATTTTAACGAAATTTGGAAAATTTACCTTTATATATATATTATTAAAGTTTCTCATAATATTTTTCTTACAATCCATCTCCTCATATATATAAAACTCATGGCTGGTTTTACATCAGAATCTAACAACCGAAGAATCAATATAAGAGGAGCAGCAGCTTTGAAGCATGTTATAAATACTTTGTCAAAGTTGTTGTCATATGTTTTACTTCAAACATGCATCTGGCATTTATATGCTATAAAAGCTTTTGTTTATGAAAGATTATGGCTATAGTTGTCACTTGTCTGAATTTGTTTCGCTACTGATTCAACTCCAGTGGGCACTTCTTCATTTCTCAAAAAACCAACACGTGGTATCTCATAGATAGACTTCAAAGTCTCTGATTTGGCAGAAACTAATCATTTCTATCTAGTCTTCCATGAGAGAGATGAGCCTTCAACTACTCACTGAAAATACTTTTTTCTAAGGGCATTTTCAGCGAACCTAATAATTTGGTCTGTTTAACAGCACTCCAAAGAAAAAGGATATAGCAAAATAAATATAGTCAAAATATATCCAAACAAGCCTTTACTGCAAAGTATCATACTGAAGGTAGATTCTGTTTGAGAAATTTTACTCTGACAGTAATCCCAAAATTTGAATTCAACATCTAAATTCAGTATGTCAAAGGTGTTTTTAACTTATATTTGCAGAAGATTATATGGTACTGAATGCTGGTGTTTCTTTGCTTGTTTAATTAGGTCGTTTCCATGCATTTGAGCTGGCCCATATGGCGGATCCTACATCAAGTGGGCTTGGTGTTCGTCAGTTCAAGACCTACCTATTGTCCAAACTTGAAAAGGTACACTGGCTAATTTTATTTTCTTACAGTTCTTAAAGTTTTTAAAGGTGCTGTTTTGTACTTGTCTTTGGTATCTATGAGCTGGTATAATGATACCTTCTCTTGATTAAATACATAAATATTAATCTCAACATGACAGGAATCTTGGGATACAGAATTCTTGGTTAAAAGAAGTGATCCTAGGGAGATGCAGGACTATTACCAACAATTCTATGAAAAGAAAATCCGTGATGGAGAATTTACCCAGAGACCGTGGGGCTTGATCTTAAACTTGTGCTTGCAAGTTTTGTGGATTGTGTTATAATGTCTTATTCTTCTCATGTTTCTCTTGAAGGGAGGAGATGGCTAACAATGTTCACATTGCCACTGTATTGTATGAAGCGCTGAAGACTGTGGTACCTCTTGGAAAAATTGAGGATAAGGTTTTTGTTGCTTGATTAGGCTACCATGACTAAAATTTGTAAAATACTTCTAAAGATACACGGACTAAGGATGTTGTTTTATTGCCAGACAAAAAGATATGCTGAGGATGTTGAGAAGATGAGGGGACAATATGAACGCTATAACATCCTTCCACTATATGGTCTTGGTGTTAAACCAGCAATCATGGAACTTCCTGAGGTTTGCGAATCTGGGATATATGCATTGTTTGTTTTACATCTGCTAATGATATAATCACCCTGATATTTTAAATTTTTAATCTGCTTTTTTTGTTGTTGAAAATTATAGATCAAAGCAGCAATTGATGCTATATGTAGGGTGGATAATCTTACAATTCCATTAATTCGTGCAAGACCTACTATGCCTATGCAGAGGCTTAAAAAAGTGAATGATATACTTGATTGGATTGCCTCAGTTTTTGGGTTTCAGGTAATAATGAATATTCTCCCCTTTTCCCTTCTATTTCCTAATTTCACTTTGATCGGATATTGTCTTGGTTACAATTTTAGGTGAGAGATAACTAAGTGCAACACTTGTTATTAATCCATCAGACTTGAGTTTTCAAGGTAGTGTTTAGTATATGACAAGATTTTTCATGCCTAAAAATCAAGGTTGTCAAAATCAAGAGTTTACGTAAACTTGTTGAGATCCTCTAAACTCGAATCGTAAACTCATTTGTGTTTACTTAATATAAAAATATATTAAAATACCTATAAATAATATAATAATTAAACATTTCAATTTCATAGTAAAGTAAAATAACAAATTTCAATAATAGAGTAGTTAAGTTTAGTAGCAAATCATGCATAGTTTCACGCAAGACACAAGTTCATAATGGTAACAAATAAAAATTGACTTGAGCGGCATCAGGGACAACGAGAACTTCAGAAACACCACACGATGAGAATGACCACGGAACGGGGGACGCTGACTGGAGAACAGAGATGCTGACCAGCAAATGCGATCCCGACCAGAGAACGTGACTCTGACCAACGAACAAGCGAGCAAGCCCTGACGCAACGATGCCGACGAACAGATCCCAATGGGTTTTGGGTTCGTTCTGCAGTCACGATCAAGAGAGACGAGCAAATCATGATAAGAAAAGAAAACCTAAGGAGAAACGAGGGTCTCCATGTTGTTTTGGGGTTTTTCTAAGTGAACCTCGTAGACATGTAGAATCACAACAAACTCGCGATTTTGGCTGAGTTTGTGCAATTTTGCTTGATAGCGCGAATTTAGTGGAAAACGAGTTTGCATACGAGTTGAATAGGTTGAGCTTCCCAAAGTCATAAACTCGGAAGTTTCTATGAGTTAAAACTTGATTCAACCATGCTAAAATTCATAATTTATGGGAATCATAAATCTTGAGAATATGGAAAATCTGCTTGGTTGATGATAAATATTTTTGAAAATGTTTATAAATGTTATTTGGGTATCAATGCTTTTTTACTGCATTAAATAAGACAAGTAAATATATGTAACATGACATTTTTACAACATTAAAACTTTATTTTTAACTCGAACGTGTTAGTTTCCCACCTCCTCCAATTTTTATAAATGTTATCCGGGAATCAATTTTTTTTCTTTCATTGCACTAAATAAGCAAATAAAAGTAACATGACGTTGGGAATGTTAGTGTCTCACCGCTCCCATGGGAGTCCTGTGTAAAAACCACTTTTGGGATACAATGTTTTGTAGGAATGTTATTTTTTAAATAAAAAACCAATTGTGGAAAATTAACATTCCCAATGTCAGATTCGTGGGAAAGTAAAACCTTTCTATTGGTGGTGAATGAAGTGACCTTGAATGTGCTCATGATTGGGTTTTGATAGTTGAATTCATAGGAATTTTGGAATCAGGCTTTTAGTTTTTTTACTTTTTTATAAAACGAGTGTTAGTAACACATTTCTTTCAATGCATGCTTAATTTTTTTTATTTGAATTGATTGATAACTATAAAATTAGGAGAGAAAGTTGTCCAATAAGAAGTGAAACTCACCAAAATTTGTGATTTCCAATAAATTTGAATCAATAGAAAAGAGAGATTTAGAGAGTAACATTTCTAATGTTGAGGAAAAGTAAAAAGCATGTTTAGAAGAGTGTGTTCTCTTGAAGAATAATTTTATGTTTGGTAAGCATAATTTAGAGAATGGTTTTTGTCTACCCCAAAATGGAATGGATTAAGGTGGAAATAAGAGAGATAGGAAGAAGAGATAAAAAGTAAAGAGAAAAAAAAATGATACATGTGATGGATGATTGAATAAAAACTGAAGATTGAGAGAGAAAGAAATGAGGTAGAAGTGAGATGGAATAGAAAGTGTATATATGATGAGTATATTTTACAAAAATGTTATCAAACGTGTACTCGATTTAACAAATGTGAACATAAGGCTGATCCGGAAGCAACATGATGGTGATTAAATGGCGTTGTTCCAAAGCTATGATCCAAACCTTCAAATAAGTTGGAATTCGGGAAGGGTTCTCGAACAAAGAATTTTTAATATTATCTGGTAATGATAATAGATCTGAGCAATGCTTAAAGCAAAATCATTTTTTCTAGTTTGTTTATTTGTAGCTGAAGCAAAAATGGCCAGTGTTATTCAGTGGAGATATCTTCCTTGAACCTTTTACGATATTAGGTTTTTTCACAACAAATATGAGAAATGAACAATTTAAAATCGCTCTTTTTCTTTTCAGCTTCATTGTAGTTGTTCGATTCAAAGGTTGACTTCTTTGATGGGCTTTCACTTTTTGTTAACACTACAAGAAAAGCATAAAATAGCATTGATTTTTCAATAAAAGTCGATGCTAAGTATTATTTTTGTATTGGTCGAGCGACAATCTCAATGTCCTGGTAAAAAGATGGACATAAATGATGGGTCCAGCCATAGAAAAAAAAAAATTATTGTGGTAGCGAAAGGGTGTATTCGGCCCAGCCTAGAGCCTAATGGGTGTTCGTCCTTGCCCAAAGCTGAGTGGGTGTTTATTCATCTTCACTTGTCGAGGTGAGCCTTGGGCTACTCCTTTGGTGTATTCGGCCAAGTCCCAAACCGAAGGGGTGTCATGATGTGTGCTTTGTCGGTTCGGGCGGCCTATTCGGCCTATATTCTGACCGAAAGGGTGTATACTAGTACAATATGGATGATATAGATTAAAAAATTTAATTACTAAATTAAAAAGAGAAAGGAAATGGCATACCTGCAATCGCTTAGAACTCCACAAATCAAGGTACAAAAAGTGCATGTCTTAATGAGCTTGAAAGAAAACTCTACAACCAAAATGAATGTTTAACTTGGTGTCGGTTATAGTAAACTGTTTGATAATTCATAATTATTAAAACAAATACAAGATGAATTGCACCATTAAAATTGAGAAAAAGATATAAATTTATACCAAATACTAACATTTATTTATGAATTTCATGGCAATGTAGTTAGCCCTAATCCATTGCTTCATCCATGCTTCTATGAATCTTGGAACTACATTCAAGGACAAACAAACATAACAAAATTACTTAAATACTATTAAAAGAAAATATAATTTTCTCTCAACAATGAAATGTCAGGACAACAATTCTTACTCACCATAGTAACACTATAATATAGGAGAAATTATACCATTGAAATGACAGCAAAGTAGTGAGCCCGTAAACATTGATCTATTGATGCTTCAAAATGCAAGAATTTATAATTAAGTGAAAACAAAAAAATACCAAAACTTATTAATATATTTAGTGTTGTGCAATGCAGCCCTCAAATTAGGTAATAAATCACCAAAGCTATCTACCTTTCATGAGTGTCTCCTTTAGGATCAGGGTAGCAGACTCCTTCTTAATCTGTTTCTCACTTTTTGAGGCTTTGGTTATATTCAGGCATGCCTGAGGAATAAATATTAAGGAATATTAGTCTGCAATATTGAAATTCATATAGGGGAAAAATTAGTACATGCACACCAAAAATAGAAAAAGAAACATAAGCCTCCAGTATTCTAACATCCAACTTCAGAAATAAATAGCTCACCTCTTTACCCTTCAACTCTTGAGACTTAATTTTGACCAACTTTGCCTTCCCCAAAACATTCTTCCTACAAATATATAACATAAATAATATATAACAAATAATATTTCTTAAATGTAAAAAACTTACAAATGCATTAAATAATATGCCTTAGCAACGTTTTTCAACAATTTAACTAGGAAGCCATAAAATGAAATAGGAAAAGGGGAGAAAGAGGGGGAGTAAACTCATAACTTAATTTCTTGAAGTAGCCTAACTGGAACCATTTCAAATTCCACAAGCCATGTTACCACGAACAATAAAAAACAAAATTAAAAGCAATAATAAAGTGTGAAACTTTCCAAGAAATGAGTAACATAATGGTTACTATGAAAAGATAAAGATTTACACATTAAGTTTAGCATCAAATAAAATATGCATGACTAAATACCAACTAGTTTGACAAGACGAGATTAGAATTCTCCTAACATTTGTTGTAACCAAGGAGACATAAATCATTAGACACTCACTTAAAAAAGGTTATTTTGTTGTCTATTTTCAATTACATTTGAATTTCAGTATTAAAAAAATTCACATAAAAATTAATTAGAAAGACCTACAATACAAAGAAGTGTGAAATGCTTGTTTATATATACTACATCCATGGTCTACCATAATTTTTATTTTTAAGGTCTTATAGCAAGTTTAAATGACTTTTGAGGAGCACATTTGAAACTCAAACCATGAATCTAGATTTGACAAACCATTCAAAAATGATGCAAAAATTACAATAAAATACTTCTGAGATAAGGTCGAGAGATAGGAAAGTATGATTATACCACATTTGCATAGCCATCGCTCTCTTCTCTAAGAAGATTGAATTTGGTTTGTTGATATAGGAGTCAGGTATTAACTCAGACATGAAATCATCAGCACAAATGAATCATATGCATTCAAGAATTGAATTTCCAATTTAGCAAACAAATAATTTTTGTATGTTTGACATAGACAACATAAAATATATAACTAATGCTTAACATCAAAGAATTTATACAGTTTATGCAAGCAGGCATATTTGGTAGGTAATAAATGTCCTTATTGCAACTCTATATACCACAAGATAAGTTTGAGCTTATGGCTTTTCCTCAATGCTTTAATCAATTGTTTCAAAGACATTTCTAATATAGATACGCAGATAGAAATATTGGTTAGATTGATACACAAACACACAGAGAAACACACCCATAAACACACACAAAGACACAGAGACACACAAAGACATGCACACATTTTAACGCAAACACAGACACATACATGGACACAAACACACACAAGCACAAACACACAAACACATACACAGAGACACTTATACCCAACCACACAAAAACACAGACACACATTTAGACACAAAAACACACAAACACAAAAAGACAAACACATATTCATAGACACGCACACACAAAGACACAGACACAGACACACACACAAAGTAGGACACAAATAGACACACACAACCATATAGACACACATAAATAGACACACAGACACATACACAAACACCTAAACACACACAGACACACACATGTAGGGACACACGAATGCACACAAACAAAAACATACATAAATAGATGGTTACAACACTCACAAAAGCAACATTGACACATAGACTAAGACAGATACACACATACAAACACATAGACATATACAAACACACATGGAGACATACACACACAATGAAATAGGCACACAGAAATAAAAACACGCACAAATACCTTAACACACACAAATAGACACATAAAGACACACAACCACATACAGACACACACGCACACATAGAGAAGCAAACAAAGACACTCATACACTTTTGCAAAGAAACACACACAAACACACATAAACATAGGTACACACAAAAGCACAAAAACAAACATAAACACACATAAGCACACAGACACACACAAGCGCATGCACGCATGGACACAGACAGACACATACAAACACTTATCAACACAAACACATGCACACATACAGACACACAAAAGGCCCAAACTCACATAGACAAACACATGCACACAATTACAACAAACACACTTGAACACACACACACAGAGATATTTACAACAAACACACTTGAACACAGACGTAGACATAGATAAACACATACACATAGACACACTTACACAAAACGAAATACACACCAATAACCCATAAACACACACAAACTCACATATAGACACAGAAACACATACACACAAAGGCACCTAGACACACACATTTAGACCCAAAAACTCATACAAAGACAAACACACACACATATAGAAACACACATAAGCACACAGACACATACAAACACACAAATCACAAAAACAAATAGAAACACACATAAGCACAAAGACACACACAAGCGCATGCACGCATAGACACACACAGACACATACAAACACTCATCAACACAAACACATGCACACATGTAGACACACAGAGGCACAAACTCACACAGACATACAGATGTACACAATTACAACAAACACACACTTGAACACGCACACAGACAGATATATACAACAAACACACTTGAACACACACTCAAACACAGACAAACACATACACATAGACACACATGTACACAAAACGAAATACACACCAATAACACAAACACACACAAACTCACATATAGACACAGAAACAAACACACACACATTTAGACCCAAAAACTCATACAAAGACAAACACCCACACACATATAGCCACACAAAGACTCAAACAAACACAAACACACACTAAGGAACACATACACACATAGACAAACGTAGCCATAGAAACACACACAAACATTCACAAGCATAGAGACACACACCCACAAACAAACGAAGATACACATACACACCTACACACCACAAATCAAGGGACAACATGTGCATGTCTTAATGAGCTTGAAACAAAACACTATAACCAAAATGAATGTTTAAATTAGTGTGGTCACACAAAACCATATGATAATGAATAACTATTAAAGCAAGCATAAGATAAATTGCACCATCAAAAATGGGAAAAGGATATGAATTTATACCAACTACTAACATCATTTTATTTATGAATTTCATAGCGATGTAGTTAGCCCTAAACCATTGCTTCATCCATGCTTCTATGAATCTTGGAGTTGGAACTACATTCAAGGACAAACAAACATAACAAAAACTTATTTAAATATTATTAAAAGAAAATATAATTTTCTCTCAACAATGAAATGTCAGGACAAACAATTCTTACTCACCATAGTAACACTATAATATAGGAAAAATTATACCATGGAAATCACAGCAAAGTAGTGAGCCCGTAAACATTGATCCATTGATGTTTCTAAAGGAAAAAAGTTATAATTAAGTGAAAACAAAAAAATACCAAAACATATTATTATATTTAGTGTTGTGCAATGCAGCCCTCAAATTAGGTAATAAATCACCAAAGCTATCTACCTTTCATGAGTGCCTCCCTTAGGATCAGGGTAGCAGACCCCCTCTTAATTTGTTTCTCACCTTTTGAGGCTTTGGTTGTATTCAGGCATGCCTGAGGAATAAATATTAAGGAATATTAGCCTGCAACATTGAAATTCTTATAGGGAGAAAATTAGTACATGCACACCAAAAATAGAAAAAAGAAACATAAGCCTCCGGTATTCTAACATGCAACTTCAGAAATAAATAGCTCACCTCTTTACCCTTCAACTCTTGAGCCTTAATTTTGACCAACTCAGCCTCCCCCAAAATATTCATCCTACATATATATAACACAAATAATAAATAACAAATAATATTTCCTAAATGAAAAAAACTTACAAATGCATTAAATAATATGCCTTAGCAACGTTTTTCAACAATTTAACTAGGAAGCCGTAAAATGAAATAGGAAAAGGGGAGAAAGAGGGGGAGTAAACTCATAACTTAATTTCTTGAAGTAGCCTAACTGGAACCATTTCAAATTCCACAAGCCATGTTACCACGAACAATAAAAAACAAAATTAAAAGCAATAATAAAGTGTGAAACTTTCTAAGAAATGAGTAACATAATGGTTACTATGAAAAGATAAAGATTTACACATTAAGTTTAACATCAAATAAAATATGCATGACTAAATATCAACTAGTTTGACAAGACGAGATTAGAATTCTCCTAACATATGTTGTAACCAAGGAGACCTAAATTATTAGACACTCACTTAAAAAAGGTTATTTTGTTGTCTATTTTCAATTACATTTGAATTTCAGTATTAAAGAAATTCACATAAAAATTAATTAGAAAGACCTACAATACAAAGAAGTGTGAAATGCTTGTTTATATATACTACATCCATGGTCTACCATAATTTTTATTTTTAAGGTCTTATAGCAAGTTCAAATGACTTTTGAGGAGCACATTTTTAAGTCGTCTGCAAAGGATTCTACCCGTCGCTCGATGGGAATTGCGCTTCAAGGCGTCTCGCATGGCTGATCAGCCTTACGAGGATCACCAACGGCACGTGCCTCTGGAGGGTGGAGACCCCCTACTGCTGGTCGGCAAGCGAACGACAGGCGACATTAATTAGAGTCATCAAAGTCAACACTAAAAAATAAAGACCACAAAAAAGCATGTTACCATTTTCTCATTTCCCTCTTCTTACTTGTACCAAAATTCCTCAACCTATCGCATGTGCTCTTGCTGCTGCTCCTAATGCTCCTGCTCTTGTTGTCTTCCATCCATCAGCCACTTTGCAACACAAAAAAGTGGTGAAAAAATGATTAAAGTTAGGGGATTGCTGACTAGGCCGTTCCACCATGCCCCAACCCTGCCTCTGGGAGCAACAACAATGATGTGAGCAATGAAAGAAAGCCCAGGAGGAAAAAAAAATTGTTTTTGGGTGTGGGGTGAGAAGTACTTATAATTTTTTGAATTGATGAAGGTGAAGAAAAAAATTAATTTTGCACTCAGGCATCCACATTAGTCGGCGCTAATAAGCATTGCTCCAACCGACTCTAATAATAAATTCTTTGAATTGGTGAAGGTGAAGAGAGGTAGGACAGAAGATTCAATTTCATGCTAGTTGAATATCTTAGTGTTGGCCATGTCAGTGCTAATGTAGACCCTATTAAATGCTTGCCTAGCCGACTTTAGTAATTATTTTACAAATTATTAATTAGTATTAATTTGGTCAATGCTAATAGTAATTTTTAGTTTTCTTAAAAATATTAGTGCCGACCATGACCAATGCTAACTAGAAAAGGATAGAAAAAAATAATTAATAGGAAACATACTCTTCAATTTTTATTGTTGGCAGCTAATGAAGAATACAACTATTTATGCTTTTAATGCCATTTTTGGTGAATAATCTGATTTGATGTTTCCTTCTGTTTTGGGGATATGAAGAAAGGAAATGTAGCAAATCAAAGGGAGCACCTTATATTATTACTTGCCAACATGAATATAAGGAACAGCGCTGAATCAACTAATCAGGTGAACTATTATTTCCTGCAAAAAGCTTTTGTTTTTCATATTTAATGAACAGGGTGATGCTAAATTTCAAGGTTGTGATTACTATTCCTCTTATCATATTAAAAGCTAACAAGAATCTTGTTGCAGCTCCATGCAGAAACTGTGGAAAAGTTGATGGCTACAATTTTAAAAAATTATAAGTCATGGTGTGATTATCTACGTTGTGAATCCAATCTTAGGTAATTGAATGTTTTACTGTGAGGCAATATGACCAATGGTTTTGAGCTTTCAGAGTAAGTTTGGATTGAGGAGAGTTGGGAAAGAGAAGGGAAGATTAAGTTTTCAATTTGAATTAAAATTTTATTTTTGAATATTTTTTAAATGGAAGAAAAAATTGAAATATTACCATGCACTTTCCAATCATCCGTTATTCTTTTATATAAATGTTTTTTTAACTCTTAATTTAAAACCAAAAAATTAATTAACCTCTTCCCTTTTTCTCCGAACCCTTGCATCCAAGTGAACTCTAAATATATTGTGCTTCATATAATGTTATATACTAAGAAGAGCTCTTTAATTAATTTAGTGTATGATTTTTTTGTTTCTTAACACTTTATAGGTTTCTAGAGGATTATGACAAGCAACAGATGGAGCTGATTTATATTGCACTTTATCTTCTAATATGGGGAGAAGCTTCAAATATTCGCTTTTTGCCTGAATGTCTTTGCTATATTTTCCATCATGTAAGTTTTCTATTACTGATTCTAAAACATTATTAATAACATATCATTCATTCTTCTCTGCTGTGCCTGCACTGTAAGTCCATCATTTTAATCTTATGCGTATAACAAACTTAACCTTCATTATGTGAAACGAAATGCTTTGTGTGATATCTCTTTTAAACATCATTAGACAATCATTCTCACCTCCATCAGCGACACCACATTATACTATCATTAATATATATTTTATATCTCTTGTATTATTCTTCTTAGAGAGAATGAAATCATTGAAATTAAGTAGGAAGATATCTCATGAATATAGAGAGTATATTGTATTTTCAGATTAAACAAATAATATCATTCTAATTATTTACCAAAAGTCATTTTAGGCAAAACCTTCTTCTATACATCCCCAAAAAATTCACCTTTCCTCTTTATATATTAATGGTCTTTTAAAAGGAAGAAGATTTCCTCAGGGCATCACTTCCCTCTCATGAAGTTCCTAAATTTATAAATTTCAACTAAATAGCTTCATGTGAAAATCACAAATGAAATGCAACAAGAAAGTTTGTAGGATGGAGACATTTCTCCAGTGAATTTTGGGACCAGAACATTTGCGAGAATCAACTCTTTATACCCAACTGGTATGTTGATCCATGCAATCACACTAGTCATGTAGTATCTGCACTTGTGTTAAAATGGGATTAACTTTTTCTTTATCCCATTTGTTTAACAGTTTAGTAACTTTTTTGTTCTATTTTTATTATTACTCACATTTATAATGAATCATTAAATTTTTTTCTATTATATCTTTAACCATTTATTGCAAAGTAAGAAAATAAGAAAGAAGTGCATGTGATAGAGAATCTAATTAATAAGAAAATTAAAAGATATATTAGTAAATTACGTAATATATTTTTTTTAAAATTTTTATGAAATCTGACACATTAATTACATTTCATAATTTTTGTATCAAAACCTTAAATATCAAACATAATGGCAGGAGAATATAAATTAAAAAGGTCACTAAATTTTATTTTAACAACAAATATTGATTTTCACATGTGAAAATAGAGGAAACAATCATGTTTGCATAATTTTTTTTTGGTTCGTCCCTGGAGTATTCACCGCCGATAGCCGTGACTAATCTCCTCGCTACGTTGGAGGCACCTCAAAGGGTGGGATAGCTGGTCCCAAGATAATCATGTTTGCATAATTAGTTACATGTATCTAAAATATAAATACCGTTAGATGGAGGAAGTAACTTGGATAAATTCAATATAAAAAAGGAGAAAAATAAAAATCAATATAAATAACATTATAATGTTCAGTCTCCATATCATTTATTAGTTTGGACAGGTTTCTCATGTGTTGTTGTTGGAGATGCAACTAATTTTTCAGCTGGTTTAATTATTTTCATTTATCAACATAGGAGATTTAAGATATTATAATTACTTTTTTTATTTATGCTACACAAATGTTTTTTTTTACAGCAATTATGCTTCACTAATGTTCTTTAACGTATGTGGGATTATATATATATATATATATATATATATATATATATATTTCTTGTTAAAATATATTCACACAGATTTATTATATAATTATATTAATTAGAAAATTATTGTAATATAAAGAAAGATGCGTAGACACGGGTATTGTTTAACTGTAAAATATTATGTTAAAACATGTACGAGATATTAAATATAAGTAAAATAAATCTTTTAATAAGTGAAAAAAACTTGTAAATGTGTACCACGTTTTTTTATAGTTACGTAGCAAGCATGGTGTAGATTGTTTGGTACCATGTTAACGACTGTCCATTTTTCCCCCAAAGATGTCCTGTGAAGTCTATACGATTTTATTTGTGACTGTGACTGGGAGCAAAGAGAAAGTAGAAGGACGTGATGATGAATTTTTTCTGAGGGAAGTTATAAGTCCAATATATCAAGTTTTAATGAAGGTCAGTATGATGCAGCTATAATCAGATTAGTTTTGCTGCATGTTTTCTAATGTTTTCCTGACACTTTTTTCTGTATTTGGTGAAAAAGGAAGCAAAGGGAAACAACAAAGGCAAGGCAAGTCATTCCAATTGGAGAAATTATGATGATCTCAATGAATACTTTTGGTCAGTGTTTCATTAAATTTTTAGTTATCAAATAATGAAAACTCTTGAAACAGTGCAAAAAGCTATTTATTTATTTATTTATTTTTATTTTTATACATTTGGATAACAAGAAGCTTAAATATGTGCCTTTTAAGGTCAAACAAATGTTTTCATGATCTAAGCTGGCCATTGAATTCCGAAGCAGATTTTTTTAGGCATTCAGATGAGACACATGAGACAGCACATCGGGTCTGTATCTATTTTCCCTATTTTCTTTTTCATTCTGTCCTGTTTGTATGTGTTGTACTTATTTTTCAACAGTCAATTGTTAGACCAGACTTTCTTAATAGATTTTTCAAATTAGTTTTTAATATGATTGAAGAAATTGACAAATATTTAACAAGCTTCAGATTTATATTGAATGAAAAACTTCCATGTCACATGATTTCAATCATGAATGAATATCACCAAACACTGGTCCCCACATATAGAGTCAATAACAAATCCCATTCATCAAAATGAATAAGGTTAAAATTATTGTCATCAAGAGGAAATGTTGCACGAAGGTATTTTGAAAATTGACAACCATCCTCACAATGAAAAAATTAGACGGACTCTTTTGTAAACAAATGACAGTAAAGACTTAAGCATACTAAAAAGTTGATGTCTAAGACACTTGTTGATTGGAAGGCAACACCTTTTTTATGGTACTACCATCAATCTTCATGCATTGCAAAAAAAAAAAAAATGACACGCGATAATCTTTCGCAAGTCCAACTATCCTCCCCATGGTATAAGGTATTGAGGACACAATGAGAGTGGAAAAAAATACTACAGGATTTAATAGAGTAGTAGAGTTCTTCTCCTTTGGTTGTAAGCTGAGTGGTTATTTGCTATGTCAGCATAGTTAGTTAGACTGTTGGCTAGTCTTTCTGTAGGCTGATTCGCTGTTGCCACATCAGCATAACTACTTAGCTTCTTCTGTACTCTTTCCTTGTAACTATATAACCTGATCTCTTTCATTGAAGAGTTTCACAATATCAATATTAACAGAATCAGTTTTCTCTTTCTCTCTCTTTTCTCCGAACTTCTACATGGTATCCAGAGCTTTCTGAAGTCTCGCATGGCTTCCGATCCTTCTCTATTGCACAACTTGACATTTTCAACATCGATTTTGTCGCACTTCTCTTTGTTTTCATTTTTAATTATAGAGAAATTATCTGATGATAATTATTTTGTTTGTATCTAGCAAGTTGAACTAGTGTATCACGTGCACAAACTTCATAGGTGTTGTGCTTCACCTGAAATTCTAAGTCTATTTCTCATTGAGGAAGATCATCTTGCTGAGGAAGATGATACAACTCATAAGCAAGCTCTCCTTATTGTGTTGGGTCATACACCTACGCAAGCACCTGTTGAATGGATGATAGAGGAACCATTGGTGGAAAGTGGGAGGCTCATACACACTATCAAGAGGCCCACTAAATTGAGTGACTTTGTTTGCTATAAATAAGTCTTAATATGCGAATAATACTGAATGAGGATACCCTTTTATTTTTACTAGTATTATATTGTTAGCCCAAGGTGGTTGGACAATCTTACATGTTGATTCCATATATAAACTTTGTAGTGGAATTGGAAAAAAGGGGAACAGAAATCATGACAAAATTATTCTCTCTTTGCTTCCTTCTTCCTTAGTCTTTTCTGTTAGAAGCAAACACCTGCTTGAAAGGTGCTCTTTACTATCATTACTATATCATTAGTGCTTTCATTGATTAATCTTCTCCATTTTGTAGATTGGGTGCCATGTTTTCTTCCACTTCTTTTGCTATTTCTGAAAAACAGCTGGATACTCTCTCCGATTCGATCCATGCTTCCCTGCAACAGTTCATGATTTCTGTTGAGACCAAGATGGCTAACCCTCGTACAGAGTTTCAGCAGACTCATGCAAATTCTTTGAGTCATCGTTCACACACATTGACACCTCGCTCAATGAAACTCGATGTACCGCGTTTTGATGGTTCTGATCTTGCTGATTGGTTGTTTCGTATTGAAGCTTATTTTGATTATATGGAACCCCACCAGAAACACGATTGCAAATTGTCTCCTTTCATTTGGAGGGTTGTGCGGCAACTTGATTTCAATGGGCCAAGAGAAACAATCTATTTTCTAACAGGCCTTCTTTCATTGCTGCGGTTAAACATCAATTCTGTCCTAATGCTTATGAGGATTATGAGGGAAATCTTTCGAAACTCACATAGATGTCATTGGTTGTCGAATTCCAAACTCAATTCAAGGAATTGTTGAACAAGGTTACAGGTATATCGGAACCTCTTCTCATTAGTTTTTTCATCATTGGTCTTCAGGCGAACATTTGTCGTGAGTTACAATTCCATCGTCCAGCAACATTGATGGAAGCCTTTGCCATGGCTAGTGCTTATGAAGCTCGGATTGATGATGCAGCTGTTACGATAAAAGGGAGTCCTCGTGGGATTTCTTCCTTTGGCTTTGGACACTTAACAAGCTGAACCCAACTTTCAAGTGTGACTGGCCCAGGGGATGTCTGTCGTATTCCAACACCCAAGCCCAATTTACGCATCACACATACAGCCAAACTCCCACCTCTCCTACTCTCATCGACCCTCTCAATTCAGCGTCTAACACCAGCAGAGTTGAGTGATAAGAGAGAGTGGGGTCTCTGTTACAATTGCGATAAAAAATTTGGACCCAATCATCATTGTCAAAATAATACCTACTGCTTCTTGGTTGTGAGGATGATGGTGACACTACTAACGAGAAAGTGGGGGATTGGGATATGATAGCCGAGGAGATTTTCGGTGATATTTCCACCCTTAACACTCTTTCAGCTTCAGGGTTGCTCTCTACGCATGTTCGGATCTTATGGTTCTAAGCAATTTCAAGTTTTAATTGATAGAGACAACACTCACAATTTCATCAAACCCTCGTTGGTTGAACAATTGGCTCTTCCAATAACACCCATTCCTTGTTTGTCTCCACAAGAAGTGGTGCTTTTCTGAGGTGCCAATATAGTTGTCCTAAAACGGCTCTGGTTCCTCAAGGAATTGAATTCACAGTAGATCTCTTTGTGTTGGTGATTGAAGGTCCTGATGTTGTTTTCGGTTTTCCTTAGCTGCAATCGCTTGGTCTGGTATCACATGATTACTCAGCTCTCACTATGGATTTTATTTGAAAGGATCAATAGGTGACTCTTAGAGGTGAAACTAAATTTCTGCCGAGTCCAATTTCTATCCATCACTTACAAGCCCTTGTTCACCATAAGGATTCTCATTTTCCTTTTGAGCTTTCTAGTTTTGTGGTTGCTATGGATACCATTTCAGTGGAGTTTGCCTTGCCATTGGACATTCCCTCTGCGGTTCACACATTATTGCTTAAATACAAAGATATTTTTCAGCCCCCTTTAGGCTTACCACCTCATCGTGTTGTCGACCATCGCATTCATTTGATTGCTAGAACCAAACTTGTTAATGTTCGTCCATATAGATACCCACACTTTTAGAAATTGGAGATGGAAAAGTTAATTTGAGAAATGCTTGAGCAAGGGATCATTCGACCAAGCCAAAGCCCTTTCTCATCTCCTGTTTTGCTTGTTCGTAAGAAGGATGGGTCGTGGCGGTTTTGCGTCGATGATAGGGCCCTTAATGCTGCCACCATGAAGGATAAGTCCCCAATTCCTACTATTGATGAACTCTTGGATGGGTTGGAGGGTGCCTCAATTTTCAGCAAGCTGGATCTACGTGCTGGATATCACTAGATTCGTGTACACTCTAAAGACATATACAAGACTGCATTTCGTACTCATGATGGCCACTTTGAGTTTCTTGTTATGCCCTTTGACTTAACAAATGCCTCCTCGACATTCCAGGCAACCATGAACCAACTATTTTCATCTTATCTTCGAAGGTTCGTCATTGTTTTCTTTGACGATATTTTGATATATAGTTCTTCCTTGGATGATCATCTTCAACATTTAGAGCTGGTTTTGCATCGTTTATACTCACATAAATTCTATGCTAAGCTCTCTAAGTGTTTGTTTTGCAAGCATTGCATCGAATACTTGGGCCACATTGTCCCTTCCTACAGGTGTTCATTCTGATCCTAAGAAGATTGAAGCCATGGTGCAGTGGCCTACTCCATAAAACATCAAACAATTATGCGGTTTTTTAGGACTCAGGATATTATCGTCGATTTGTTGCTAAATATGCCTTAATTGCTGCCCCTCTCACATACCTTTTGCGTAAAGATGCCTTTGAATGGAATCCTGCTGCAGATTCTGCTTTTGCAGCTCTCAAACAATCCATGGTTGAAGCCCCTATTTTACAACTTCCTGATTTTTCTCAAGAATTCATTGTTGAGGTTAATGCTTCTAATGATGGAGTTGGGGCTATTTTAATGCAACAAGGTCACCCCATTGCTTATTATAGCAAGAAATTGAGTCCTCGTCTTCAAGCCTCCTCTGTTTACGTCAAGGAATTATATGAAATAATCGAAGCTGTGCTTAAGTGGCGATAATATTTGTTAGGTTCCTTATTTGTGATTTGCAATGATCACAAAAGTATAAAGGAACTTTTACAGCAAGTGATCCAAACCCCGGATCAACAACCTTATGTGATAACACTTATGGGTTTCACTTTTTGCATTGAGTACAAACGTGGTAGCTCTAATCGTGTTGTAGATGCTCTTTGAAGGGTACCTATGGCCCAGGAGGTTGATGCAAGTACTCTCGCCTTCAGTTTTTCTTGCCTTAGTCGAGTCTCCTCATCCTACTTGAGCTTGCGGGGGATATTGGAGTATAGTTTTACTCCTTAATTATATGTACACATTTATTACCGTTAATATAGACCAATATAAATTGGCTCTATATAAACATGTCATGTATGATTTCTTAGTTAGTTAATGAAAATATATTTTGCCTAATGACAACTTTCTCTCATCTTCTCAATTCCTCTCTCTCTCTCTCTCTCTCTCTCTCTCTCTCTCTCTCTCTCTCTCTCAACTCTATTATGGAGCGTGTGGGCCAGGTTGCATATCATGTGGGCTTACTAGTGGGAAGCTGTGTTCATCCTGTATTTCATATTTTAGTCCTCAAGTTTTTTCGCGGTCAGATGGTTTCACAAGCTCGAGACTTTCTAGCAGGTAGTTTTGATGATAAGCCTGTGGAAATTCTTGTAGCAATTTGTGCATCTCGCAACGTGTTGAACCATGGTGTTCCCCAAAAGCAAGTGTTGGTTCAATGGGAAGGACATACGCCAGAGGAAGCCACTTGGGAGCCATTTGCAGAATTCTGCTATGATTATCCAACCTTTCACCTTGAGGACAAGTTGAATTTTGAAGGGGAGGAAAATGATAAAGCTCATAAGCAAGCTCTTCCTATTGAGTTGGGTCATACATCTATGCAAGCACCTGCTGAAGGGATGTCATGATAAAGGAACCATTGGTGGAAAGTGGGAGGCCCAAACGCACCATCAAGAGGCCCACTAAATTGAGGGACTTTGTTTGCTATAAATAAGTCTTAATATAAGAATAATACTGAATGAGGATACTCTTTTATTTTTACTAGTATTATATTGTTAGCCTAAGGTGGTTGGACTATCTTACATGTTGATTCCATATAAACTTTGTTGTGGAATTGGAAAAAAGGGGAACAGAAATCATAACAGAATTATTCTCTCTTTGCTTCCTTCTTCCTTAGCTTTAAGTTGGAGATTGTGAAGTTGTGTGAATGTAAAGCCATTTTGTGGCAACAAAGTCAACAATAGGAAGACATAGGTTATAAAATTTCTATGTGTAGCTGGTTGGGAGGTAGAAAAATTCTACCATGCATTAATAGCCATGCTTCATCCTTTCCCTATAAATAGCACCTCCCATGCTTCATCCTTTCCCTATAAATAGCACCTCCCATGCTTCATTTTTACCATCCCAAATTGTTACTCCTCATTTGAGAGTTAGAAGCAAGAGTGTCTCTAAGTGAGTGTATTCTCCTATTATAAGAGCGAATGTGTTATTGTTCTTTCCTTGTATTTAGAGAGGGGTTGTAATTTCTCTTCCACTCAGTGAAAACATTTCTCTAGTCTTGCTCGTGGTTTTTCCCTGGTCAGTTGAGGGTTTTCCACGTAAAAATAATGTTAATTCCTATTTTCTCATCTCGTATTTTAGGTCGTGAATGACCTTTATTGAACTAGAGACATGTCATGTGTGTATATGATTGAACATAAGATCTATTGCTCAAGCTAAATGGTCTTTAATGGATAGCTGTTTATTTTTTTTATTCATTCTTGTTGTTCTTGTTCTTCTTTTTCCTTACTCTTAAAGGTCTAATATACATATATACAATCTACTTGTATTTTCCTTCCATAATAATAAAATTGTTGCATTGATTATAAGCAGTACTATATGTAAATATTCTCATGGTCAATGACAGGGACGTAGCCAAGCAACCATTGGAGTTTATAAGAGGAAGTCAAAAACAAATTTTGTTGAAGTTCGAACATTTTTGCATTTGTATAGGAGTTTTGATCGAATGTGGGTATTCTTTATATTGGCTCTACAGGTAATCATAGTAGTTGGATCTGTGGAATGTTGTTTATGTTGATTTTAACTGAATGTCTAGACCTATGGTTAAGTCTTGAAACTTCAATATGCAATTTCTTTTTTCAAATTTGAAATTATTTGTTTCAGGCAATGATTATCATAGCATGGAGTTCCTTGGGACCTGTTGGCGTGTTTTTTAATTCAGATGCCTTCGAAAATGTTATGACTATATTCATTACATATGCTTTTCTCAGGTTTCTTCAAGGTACTTGATTCTTATATGTTTGAGCTTCTTGTTGTATGTACTTTATCAAAAGATTTATTTAAAGGAAAGAAAAGGAGGGAGGATAAAATATCCACCATCGCACTCCCAAAAAGTTAATGTCAGGATATATTGCTGATTAGGCTATGCCCTAACAGACTATTTCCTACATCTTCATAAAGTAGTCTATGGAAATGCAGACCTGACTAAGAGTTGTGGATCAAATACTAAAAGAAGTGTAATGATGGGGTGATTTCAAAATGTTAGACAAATGATGAGTTGGCCAGTGTTGAGAATGCTGAGCAAAAAAGTAGAAGTGTGAAAATGATGAAGAGAAAAAAGGATACTAAACTTGTTTGATTAAATTGCTTTGTACAAGACAAACATGCATATAGGTGTTGTTACTCAATGATACTAACAGTTGGTGACTATTAGTTAAAAAAAAATCAGTGTTTTCAAAATCGGACCGATTATTGAATCAATTCAGGCATTGGTTCAAGGTTCAATGGTTCAACCATAGTTAAACCAATATTAATAAAATAATTAAATTATATATAATAATGTTAAATAAATAAAATATCATGATTTAATAACACTAAAATTTAAAATAAAACTTTAATAATCAAAGTAAACATAAAAGTCCAAATATAATATTTAAGTTTTAATTTAATAAAATATAATAATGTCCATTAATAATAACAAATTTACATATAGATTAAAAAAATGTCAAATTAAAGTAAAATAAATTGAAAATTACAAAATATAAAAAATTGTAAATTAATATAAATGACTAAATTATTCTTTATATGAAAATTATTAAAAAAGTTATAAAATAATTTATTCCAATTTATAATCTTTAATAAATATATTTTTATTCATTATAAATATTTTAAAATAAAAAAAAAATCAGTCAAAAATATATTAAGATTTTTTTAAAAATATATTGTTGAAATAGTACTGATTCAACGCGATTTTCTACACCATTCCTAGATCGGTTTTCATTAGTTTTGGATCGGTTTGATCAGTTCCCGGCAAGTTTGCATGGGTTCTGAAATCTGCTGTTTTTCCCAAGTTACTGGGCCAGTCACCAGGCCGGTTCCCGGTTAGATCAGTCGATCTGGTCTGGTTTGATTTTGACAACTATGAAAAAAACTCTTAAGATACACCGATGAAAAATTGAGTAATTGATTAACTAAACTAATTGTGTAATTCCTCAATTACCTATGTGAGAAAGTATCAATATACTTTAAAGGCCTGCAACTTGGATTGGGTATGTGGCTAGGAAAACACGGGCACACCCTGATGGGCCTATTATGGTTTATTTGGAAAGTATAGGTGATATCAAGGCTATTAAATATCTAGCAAAATAGGGTTAATAGTTTCTTGCTTTCCAAGAATTTGTATACCCCCTAAATTTGCATATTGTCCATTATAGTTGTAATTCTCCATATCAACCATTGTTCTTTCTATCTCCATTGTGTATTTGTAAACATCTATATATTGACTTACCAATTATTGTTTACATGCAAATTCAAAGTCCAAAATGGAAGGATTTGCCAAAAGAACCACTCCTTTCTATTGGAAGTTGTTCAGTTCTTTGGTAAACAAAATGGAAAATATATATATATTTTTTAAAAATGAAGGTAGCTTTATTCTTCTGTAGTTTCAATAGCAATTACTGTTGTCATTTTATTAACTTGTTTTCTCATATCTTCTATTTGCAGCAACTCTTGATATTATTCTCACATGGAATGCATTGAGGAATATGAAATTCACTCAATTGCTTCGATATTTTCTGAAATTTGTGGTAGCAGCTATTTGGGTTGTTGTTTTGCCAATATGTTATTTCAATTCGCTACAGAATCCACCAGGAATTATAAAATTTTTCACCAAATGGGCTGGGGAATGGGGGAATCAGTCACTTTACACCTATGTTGTTGTACTATATATGTTACCAAACATAGTGCCTGCCATACTATTTTTCCTTCCTCCTGTGCGGAGAACATTGGAGTGCTCAAATATGCGAATCATCACCTTTTTTATGTGGTGGGCTCAGGTAAGCAACACATGCATTTATTTGTTTATTTTCTTAGAATATGAAACAGATGCTTCTTGTGTTAGCCTTTGCATCTCTCTTTCTAATTGAAATGTTTTTGGGGGTAATCTATCTAATGTTGACTATATTGTAGCCAAAGTTGTACGTAGGCAGTGGCATGCATGAGAATATGTTATCAATGATGAAGTAAGTGAGAAATTTTTTCCAATTTCTGTTTCAAATCTAGTTCTTTTTTGTGATATATTTGTTGGGGTGGGGTGACTATATTGTAGCCTCTCATCTATTAGTTCAGTCATTCCTGCCTTCTTCCTCACAAGTCACTATATCCAATTCTACTTCTTCCACGAGTCAACCTACTCATGAGTTTTCTTCACCCACAACTTCATCTCATACACTCGATATCTCCTCCAGTTCAGCGACTGAATTTACTTTTCCTAGACAACAAGGAGCACAAAAATCTGGATCAATTTTATTCATGAATGAGAAATTGCAATTTCAAAAGACAATTTTCATTACTTCATTATTTGGATATCAAATATATTTACTATATATACTACAAACATGCTGAAGAATACATCTCTATCAATTGCCTTTTAATGTTTTCGTCTTATTATTTATGAAACTATTTGAACCCATGATCATTTTAGTAGCAACAATTCAATTTTTGGATTTATTTTTTTCAATTCTATCTTACAAATGATGGGGTATTGCATTGAATCATATGTGCACCTATATGTCGCTTCTACTATTAATTAAATTCTTAATTTTTGGCTTTAAAATATGTTGTGTTATGGTAGGTATACCCTTTTCTGGATCATGGTGCTAAGTAGCAAGCTAGCATTCAGCTACTATGTGGAGGTATTATTTATGTAATTGGTTTTGATTTGATTTTTATTCAAATATCAGTAGCTAATGATACTAAAACACATCTGAGTGATTTTTAAACATTGGGGAGAACTAAAGCAATAGGCTAGAAGCCAACCATACAAGTGAACTTGACACCATATCTTAACCCAAAACTTTAAGATATTAGGTTTATGGGTCTTTTTCACTTATATGTTAATGTTACTTAACATAACTATATCTATCTAATGTGACATTTCTCATTCACTATTTTGCATGCACATCATCAAACACATGTTTATAGTATTTCAGTGCCTCTATTTTTTCTGTGTCAATTGTAAGGTTGTTCATGTTAATATTCAGAGAGAAGCTAAAGAGAATGATCGAAAGAAAGTGTATATTGACTTGTGTTATTGATGCACTGAGCAAAGGTATATAAAGGAGAGATACAAGAGTTCTGTTTTAATAGAATACTTAACATTAATGTAACAGAACCTAAATAGAAATATAACTGAACAGAGAAATGATACAGTACAGCAGTGCTCATTGTAGGAGCCTGCACACCCATTCTAACTATACTCATGTTCTCGATAAATGAACTATTGAATTCTTGTAAACATGTTTCGTGTATTTCCTTTTTTCCTGTGTTGAGATTGTATGAAACACACCTAATATTTTTTAACTTGTACTTCATTAAATTTGTTTCTCTTTTCACTAAATTAATCTTTCAATAGATTTTGCCCCTTATTGGACCGACAAAATTAATCATGGGGATGTCTATAGATAACCACCAGTGGCATGTTTTATTTCCAGAAAATGGTAATGTTTTGTCCTTTTACTATCTTTCCTACGTGTTCTATCAGTATAGCTTGCTTCAACTCTCATTCTATAAGTGTTACAGAGACTCATAATATATGTCTTGTCATTGCAATATGGGCTCCAATTATCCTGGTGAGCTTAGTAGTAAAGGAATTTTATAGTAACATTCATTATCTATTACTTCGGCTTTCAATTTTTGAGGACTAATCCATTTCATTCTTATATTTTTTATATATTAAAATATAGGTTTATTTTATGGATACTCAAATATGGTATGCTATTTATGCCACTCTATTTGGTGTCATCGTTGGAGCCTTCAGCCATGTGGGAGAGGTTAGTGGGATATTTATTCCAATATTTTATATTGAACCTTTTGTAATTTCCCCCTTTTGTTTTGTGATTTCTTCTTTGATTTCACAAGGAAAAAAATTTCATTATTTGATACTTAGCATAAAACCCATCTTTAATTGATTTTTATTGAAAGATTTGAATTTTTGGTTGGGATAATAATGATAGTACTACATTGATATTGGAGATGAAATACTTTTCTGGCTGTGGTACATGAATACTTTAAAATTGTCAATGTATACATATAAGATACTGATAAGCATGTTATACAGCTCCATTCACAGCATGATTGGCGGGTCTTTAAACAACTTAGATTTTTTCTATGGATGATGAAGGGACGATTATCTAAACTTTAAAAATTATTATTTTGATTTAAATTAGATTATAATTATGACTTTAATGGCATTGTGTATTTTAGTGTTTAAAAATACTTTTAAACGTTTTTGTCGTCTTATCCAGCCCCCCAAGAATCATTTATTTAATAGCCCATCTCTTTGATATTTAAGTCTTTTTATCATATTACTAATCTTATTCTCCTTAATTAAAATCTTTTAAATAATATTATTTATTAAACCTAAAATTAGCATAAGGTTACCTTTACTGGGCCTTAATGGACCATTTTTTAAAAATAAGATTCACTGTTATATTATTAATTAAAACACTGCTAATTATTAACAGAACCTATAGATAATATTAAATTATTAGATCTAATTTTAAGTGATGTTACAGCCTTCGTATCAAAGCATATGATTTCCTTGTCTTTTAACAAGTAGATTTTTTCTTTGGATAATTATCTTAACTTGGAATATAATATTTTTATATAAATTTGATTACAATTATGCTTTTTAATAATTTTTTTCAGTAGATTAATGACCAACAATAATTCAATGATCAAAGCAAACCAATAAGAATATCAGCAATATTGAGAAAAATAAACAAATCAATAAAAAGAAATAAATTAATATGATATATGCAATTTATAAATGAGTCAGGACCTGTTGGCAGTGTAAGCCTAAACACTTACACCAAATTTTATATCTTTAATAACTTTTTGTATGATACAAATTTAACCGATCCGACCGTTAAATCATGCAATGTCATATTTAAGATTATGTATATCAAATTGCACATGATTTGAACTTTTCTAAATATGTTATCCAAAAATGGATATTTACACATTTTAACTATCATATTATACTTTAAAATAAAACAATATAATCAACTACTAAATAATTATGGAATCATTTGAAATCTAATATACATGATCTTGAGTATAATATCATATAATTCAACAGTTGGATCGACTTAAATTTTCATTATACAAAATGTTATTGAAGGTATAAGATTTGGTGTAAGTGTTTAGACTTGCACATAGTGGCAACGGTCCTAACTCTATAAATATATGCATTTATAAATATGATTATATTTTACTTAAAATATGTAGTTCTGGTATCCTTGTTTTTTTAAATTGTCCTATTTTATGTCTTGTATTTTATGGTACTCAATACTTAGACACATACAAGCCCATGCTACAGTCTTTTGGTGATATTCTCCTATCATTTTGCATCTCTTAGATAAGGACACTTGGAATGCTTCACTCCAGATTTCAATCTGTACCAAGAGCTTTCAGTGAGCGATTTTGGACTGGAAGAGACAGAAAGACTAAACAGGTGGAATTGGTATGTGTAAAATGAAATTATATACCATGTTTTAAAAACACAGTCAGCGACTGTGATTTAGCCACAAAGTCAAAGTTTTTCAAGTCTTCGGTGACCGAAATGTGATTGCAATTTTTGCCACATTGGCTGCATGTGTGTGCAATTTCTGTTATATCTATTAATAAATGTTGACGAAACTGCAACCGGGACCACAACTGATATTTAAAACCTTTATAACCTCATAGAAGTTAAATATCCAGTCATATGACTTAAGCTTCTGTGGCAGGACGAGACATATGAACGGAATAATATTTCATACTTTTCCCAGTTTTGGAATGAGTTTATAAATTCTATGAGAGAGGAAGACCTCATCAGTGACAGGTCGAAACCTACGCGTGCCTTCATGACAAATTTTGCATTTAATGCCTGATTTTCAGGCTTCTGATTGTATTTTTGTATTCTAATTTTCTAGGGATAGAGATTTGCTTCTAATTCCATACAATGCAACTGATGTTTCTGTCATTCAGTGGCCTCTATTCTTGCTGGCTAATAAGGTGTGTCATATGAGTGATTCCCCATGGCCAAATGTTTATCATAATTGAATGGATGTGTCTTTTGATTCGTTTCTAAATCGCTTCAATATGTGATAGATTCATATAGCTGTTCACATGGCAAAAGATCATAAGGAGACTGATGATGATTTATGTAGAAAGATTAGGAGTGATGCATATATGTCTTCAGCAGTTGTTGAATGCTATGAGACTGTCAAGGACATCATACTGAATCTTCTGCTGGATGAAGAAGACAGGCTGTAAGAGAAATATGCTTGTTTAGCCTCTGTTCACCCATTTAATTTTCTTATTGGAAACCTCGAGAATTTATTAGGTTTATTCCATGGAGACAGGCTTGTAAGCAGGATATGCGCTAAAGTAGAACGGTGCATACGAGAAGAAACATTTGTCAAGGAATTCAAGATGAGTGGATTGCCTTCACTCATTGATAAGTTAGTGAAATTCTTGACTCTATTGGTAGGTTTTTCCCATCGTGCTTCCTTTTTTTCTTCTCAGTAATGTCAGTTCCTTTTCATAAGACTTCTGCAAATCTATACAAATATCAATTTTTTTCCCACTGGCAGCAATCTGCAGATGGCAAACAAAAGTCCCAGATAGTGAATCTGGTGCAAGATATTGCAGCAATTATCACACACGATGTTATGGTTGATGGCCATTTGTATGTTTGAAACGGTGACTTGAAATTTTTTATATGATTGTTTAAACCTTATAATAAGTATGGCTGTATGATATTGGCTTGGTTCTTCTTTCTCTAGGTTTCAGCAAACACCTCAGCAATATTGTGCAGCGAGAAAGGAGATGTTTGTCAACATCGATACTTCTCTCAGACGCAAAAGATCAGTGATGGGAAAGGTAGTCATGTCAGCTATACATAAATGAACACATTACGTTATTCTTTTTCAATGTGTTGTTGCTTAAAAGTTTCTGTTTCTTCTATGTAGGTTACTAGGCTTCTTTTGCTTTTGACAGTCAAGGAATCAGCCATAAATGTGCCCCAAAATCAAGAAGCCCGACGCCGTATTACATACTTTGCAAACTCCTTATTTATGAATATGCCAACGGCTCCCAAAGTTCGGGAGATGTTGTCATTCAGGTTAGTCATTGTGATAGACTGCTATATTGATTGGAATTGAAAGGAAAAATTTGAATGAGTATTGATTAATTTGAAAGACAAGGACAAACTTATGAATGGTTTTACATGACTCACCACCTCATGCTAGAAGACTGAGGGCTACAAGAATCAAACACTTGACGACATCCTGATAATTCTAATGCCACATCCACAGCCAACTTCCATAAAAGGATAAGTGGTTGGGCCAAGGCTTATGAACAATTTTATATCTAATAAATACGAAATTTTAAAATGGATGAATGAAATGTTGTCCGTACACAAGGTCTACTAAACCATTTTTCCTGACTAACTAAAAAAAGAAGATTAAGATACCAAGATGTGTTTTTCATTACTATTGCTTTTTTGTTGTTGGTAAGAATTAATTGCCACCTCATTTATTGTGCCTGCATGCATGTATCCACACATTAATTATTCACTTTCTCAAATATACGCATGGTTCTTTACTTTTGTTGAGAGAGAATTATTGGGAAAAGTTATTGTATAATGTTAAACACATGATTTGTTATTTATTGATTGATTTACTATGAATTAAAGCATACTTCGGTTACAAATAACTAATATCCAGCTTGACTATCTGTATTTGATCATTCTAATGTAATTGTAAAGATATGATTAGATATCTAATCATATCTTTTACAGTAATCAACATAAATATACTTCACCGTATATTCTATTTTAATGCTAATTTTCTAACATAAATATTAATATTCTAATTTTTAACAATTTTCCTCATGCTTTCATGATGTGAAACTTATTTGAGTTTTGCTTCAGTGTTCTAACACCATATTTTGAAGAAGATATTATATATTCTGATGAGGAACTTAATAAGGAAAATGAAGATGGAATATCAATTTTATCGTACCTAACCAAGATATATCCTGGTGAGTATTTTTAAATGCTTACTTACATTACTGGCCCGCTTTAATATATGTGCACTCATTTTACAGTCTGACATTGATAGTTTTAGAAAATATGAGTGAAGGTTGATTTTGTAGCACTAACAATGTTGAAGGCTGATAGTTTTCTATCTTCATGGTTATTAAGTGGTCTCTTGTGTAGGATAGAATCAGTAGGGATGGCAACGAGGCGGGTCGGGTACGCGGGTTTTATGATACCAGTCCCTGCGAGTCAAACCCATCCTTGTCCCCGTATCCGTACCCGTCGGGTATATGATTTTCATCCCCGTCCCGTCGGGTATCGATATACCCGTACCCGTCAATGTTTTTATTTTTTATTTTTTGTAAAAATATGATATTTTTAAATTATTTTTTTATTATATTATAATTATAGTTAGGTTATTTCTCTATTTCATATTATAATAAATAATCACACATAAAAAAATATTAAAATTCTTTAATATAATTAAATTGAAAGTGGGTATTAAATTAAAAATGGGAACGGGGACGGGTACAAGTACGGGGCGGGTAAGTACATACCCGTACCCGTACCCGATTTAATATATCGGGTTTTACCCGTACCCGTACTCGGTCAAACCGGGTATTCCCCGTCAAAGTCGAGATGGGTTTGGGTATTACCTGCGAGTACGGGTATATTTGTGATCCCTAAGAATAAGTTAAGAATAATTAGTTTGTTAGAGATGTCGTTTAGTTTGTTAGACTGTTGCTACATATGAGCTCTATAAATAGAGCACTTACATACTTCTATTGTATCTTTTATCAATCTAATACAAAATGATTTTCTATGGTACTCCTGAACTCTATTTTGAACATTATGATGTATGGCCACACTATGTTGGTGTTACTTATACTTCCCCTCAAATCTCTTCATCTTATATTTATGATGTGTTGGAGATCCTATATCGACTAATGATAAGGCGTCTATAAGTTGGAAGCAATCCTCATCGTACAAGTCAATTTTGTAAGTTTGAATTAGGCTCCAATCTACTTTCTTAAAATGGTATCAAAGCATATCAAAGTTCTTATCGCTATTGGATCACTTGTAGATGCCTAGTTCTACAAATTTCATGCTCAAGAAGTTTAGTCCTCAGTGTGAAGGAGTGTGTTGGAGATTCCACAACTAGTGGGTGTGTTGGAAATTCCACATTAACTAGTGATAAGCCCATAATAATGTATATAAGTGGGGATCAACGCTGACCTTGCAATATGGTTTTGTAAAGTTAAATTAGATTTCAATCTACTTTCTTAACTGAATGTGACTTTTATTTCTCTCTATTTCTTGTAATTGTATACAATGTGAGTTTTTGTTGCCATATATTTAGGCATCTAATCACCTGCCATATGCCAGTACCATGTTAGTGGAGTAATATTTAATTATTTATTACATTCTTTTTTAACATTCTCGCAGCTTTTCTACTAAAATAATTATGATATAATTTGTAATTTTCTAGGACATTCTTATATGATTAATCTAGTACTTTCTTTTCTTTTCTCAAAATTTGGATCACAATTAACAAACATTAATGCACTATAGATGAATGGGCCAATTTCAATGAACGACTAAAAAGTGATCATCTTGAGAAAGATCAGGAGGAATTAATTTGTCGGTGGGCATCTTATAGAGGACAGACACTTTATCGAACAGGTCTTGATCGTAATGAACAATATTTTCATTTCTAGATTTGAATATATATTCCAATTTAAATGTTATTTTGCAACCATATGTTTTTGCTAGTGAGAGGAATGATGTACTATTGGCAAGCTTTGATCCTTCAATGCTTCATAGAATTTGCTGGAGACACTGGTTATTTCTCTATTTACATACCGTGTCGAGTTCAAATTTTGAGATATGACAGAAGCCATTCAAATACAAAGTCAACTATATGTTTTTTCTCTTGCAGCTCTCTCTGAAGGCTTTCGGACAGAGGATTTCTACAATAAAAATAAGCAGTTTCTCGACAATGCACAAGCTATGGCCGATTTAAAGTTCACTTATGTTCTTTCTTGTCAAATGTACGGTTATCTGAAAAAATCCAAAAATGAAAGAGAGAAAAGTTGCTATATTAGCATTCTCAGTCTGATGTTAACGTGAGTCAATACAACCATTTGCATAACATTATTAGTTTATTGTATATTGTAAAATAATAAAAGGATTGATAGTGGAAAAATCGAACATTCCATGCAGGCATTCATCCCTTCGTGTTGCATACATAGATGAAATAGAAGACAAAAAGGATGGAAGACCTCAAAAAGTTTATTACTCTGTTCTTGTCAAGGGAAGGGATAAATATGATGAGGTATGAACAAAAGATTATGGCTTAATGTTTTATTGTGAGTTGTGCTTTTTCCATATTTATTAAAATGTTAAAAATTAAATTTTAGTTTTGTATAATTTTTCTTTGAAAATCTACTAATCTAGGGTGGTCTAATTTGGATATTCAACGTATGAAATTCACTAGGAAGTTATTTACATTTTGAGAAAAAAAATGCTGGCAAATTATGACCTATATTCTGATGTTATTTTGAACTATTTTCTTCTTGGCCTCTTACCCGAAATTGGACTCATTGAAGCCAAAACCAAGGACATCAAACCAAAGCCCTTTAGTTCCCCACCTATCAACCCTTCTTTGGCATCAATCTCCCCTCATCAACCTACATGACCCCTACCACCCATGATGGATCCTCCAATGAAGAATGATGACCAAATTCCTGATCCTTCCTTGATGTTCTCCAATGGATTTTGACCTGTTGTGATTCAGGAATTGTGTGTATTGTTGTACACATACCAATCTTATTTATAGAGTGAATACAATAAATGATAGAGATACTAATCTCTAATATTATGGAAACTAATCTAATCATATCCCTAATTGATAGTGAGGATAATAACCATAATATATGTATCCACAATATCTGTAATATATTCACAATATCTGTAACACTCCCCCTCAAGCTGGAGCATATATATCATATGAACCAAGCTTGTTACAAATATAATCAACCCGAGGCCCTTTAAGAGATTTTGTGAACACATCTGCTAACTGGTCACTAGAGTGGAGGTTAGAGGCGGCGATCGGAGGCAGCGACTGGAAGCGGCGATCGAAGGCGACGACCACCTGAAGCGACGGTCGGAGTCAGCGACTGGAAGCGGTTGTAGGTGGCGACCGGAAGCGGCGATCGAAGTTGGCGACCAGAAGCGGCGATCGGAGTCGGCGATTGGAGTCGGCGATCGGAGGCGATGACCGGAGGCGGCGGTCGGAGGCAGCGATCGGAAGCAGCGATCGGAGGCGACGGCCACCTGAAGCGACGGTCGGAGTCAGCGACTGGAAGCGGTTATAGGTGGCGACCAGAAGCGGTGGTCGGAGTTGGTGACCAGAAGCGGCGACCGGAAGTGGCGGTTGGAGTCGGCGATCGGAAGCGCGGTCAGAGTTGGCGACCGGAGGCGATGACCGGAGGCGGCGGTCGGAGTTGGTGACCGGAAGTGGCAGTCAGAGGTGGCAATCGGAAGC